ATAAGTCTTCATCTTCAAAGGCCTTTGGCATTTTAAAATAGCGAGTCTCTACTGGCTTATGAAGAAGAACCAGAGGTGGCAGGGATCCCCCTTTAGTATCATTTCTTCCCCCTGGCAATGGATGTGGTACAGGAGGGGCAGGCAGTGATTTTAAGGATGAGGTCCTTGAGGATAGGGACTATCTCATCCATCTGTGTACCAATAAAGGCCCTGGCACAGAGGTCATTTTGATGCTTGCTGAGTGAATAATAAGACGTTAAACATAATAAGATGGTTTTAATAAAGATACCAGCTGATCACCCGCTCCAATTCCTTGAGGGAGCAGGTTTACTCTGAGCAGTGGGAGAACCACGTCTCTAGAAGCCCTTTAAACTAGACTGGGCAAAGTCCCAGGGGATACCATAGAGAGATCAGAGGTGGAGAGGAACAAGAAGTGGGGAAGGGTAGGATGAGCTCACCTCCCCAACTGCTAGTTTACATTCTACCAAGTCTCCTGGGAGGTTACTGCGTGTGTACCTGGATTACAAGCTGAGCAGTCCAAAAGAGAACAAAGACAGCTAGCATAGCTAGCAGGTGAGAATGCTCAGGCTTTGGATGGCCATCTGGCACAGCTCTTGACACCTCCAACTCCTACTCTTACGTAAAGAGCCTTTATGTATGAGGTGCTACGTGGGTTGCTTCACATTCTCTTGTGAAGTTGTTGATGAGGCTCAGAGAGGGGAAGAAATGTGCCCAGAATCACAAAGCTAGGAGGCTGGGCTGGAAGTTCAACCCAAGTATGTAAACACTATTCCCCACTGCCTCCTTCAACTGCTTAAGGTTTTTCCCCCTATGATAATAAAGCAGTAATTGTTTTAGTCTTCTTGTGAAGTAAATGAGGATTTGCACTCTTAGTAAACAGATCGATGTGGTTTAGTGGTCTGAAACAATGGAAAGAAAGAACTTTGGGGATCTCAATTAACCTGTATTTAAATGTGTACTATTTAGGCAAATGAGTGAAGGGATCTAGAGAGAACCAGAGAAGCCTAAAGAACACATGCTAAAGGGGTCAGATGCTACTCAGAGACTACAGATTACTATCTTATGGAAATATGGGCCTAGCATCACTAGATCTTTAGAGTTTTAAGGGGGGGGGGCACAAATCCAGGTTTGTGAGGAGCCTTCTAATTTTTAAAATGTTGGCTCAAATTAACATAAAACCAGGAAGAAAACAATGTGAGTTGGGACATTAGAACAAGTCTATGGACTGGAAGTGGTCTTTAAATTTACTGCTTTTGGAGTTGGTTTGGCATATGACACTGAGTTTCACCCTCCTTACCCATTCTGTGCATATAAGACAGGGTTATGAGTGGCAGTGAAAGCCAGAGATCCTCACCAAAGGCATGCAGGTGGACAGAGTAATGACTGACACCTATCCTTTCACCAGGTACTTTTCATCAGGGCACAAAAAGTCTGCCTCTGGTATCCAGGCCCTGCTCCCGGCAAAAAAGTGGGGCACAATCAAAACAGTCTGTCAGTTTGTTTGACCTCTTTGTGGCTGTAGTTGGGGGAGGGGGGTAAGGCCCTGTTAAAAATCTGTCCCAAAGTACATAAGAGTGTCTTTTTTTATTTTTGGCTTGACACCTATAGAAAGAATCATTTGGGCAAATGTTCACTTGCTCTGAGTTTCTGTTTCTTCATCTGAAAAAATAAGTAATAATACTTATATCCTTCAGGTTGTTCATTAACATTTGTAACCACCAGGCACAGGGTTACAATGGTGACTGACATCGTTCCTGCATTCTCAGAGTTTATGTATAAAACAGACAAATAATAACACCAATAGTTAATTCATCATATTCATGCTGAATGTTGAGGAGAAATACAGGGGAAGTGGGATGATCAGAAGTAAGGTATGTAAAGTGCCTGGCATGAATGAATTGGCAGGTCAAGCATGGAGTAGATAAGAACACCATAGGAACCCAGATGTCAGAGGAGTTAATGAAGCATACTGCTCTTGGGAAGGTTGTGTCCTCAATAAAAACTGAACAGTTAAACCATCATCCAAGTTTTCTGGCATGGACCCTACGGTGCTGTATGGTCTGAATAGAAAGGAGAGAAGACAACAGCTCCCTGGGCCTTCCCTTCTCTCACTCTCATCTTTTGAATAATAGCACCCCCAGGGGGGCAAGCCTCAGGGTTGGAAACCAGAACTAGTGGGGGCAGGGTGGGGATAGGGAGGTGGGGGTGTCTCCTTTGAAACCAGTGTCAGCCCAAGGTAGGAGGTGGGGCTTCTGACACTCGATAAGTGATGACATTTTTATTAATTAAAAACCTTATTTTGATCTCAGACACAAAGGAGACTAGCATCAAAACTGGGTTACAATAAGCACAGGTTCTGAATTCATTCATTCTCTTTCTCATTCACCTAGCTATTTCTACTGTGTGTTGGCAAGGCCTTGGGCTAGGCATCGAGTATCAGAGATAGATGACATAGTCTGTGCCTCTGTGGAGTTCACAGTCCAATGCAGGGAACAGACACATCAACAGTGTTTCATCACAGATGGGGAATGCTACTAGAGAGAAGCACAGAGGGCTTTGGGCACAGAGGGGGCACCTGATGCAACTGGGGAGGTCAGGGAAGGCTTTCTGGGAATGGTACCCCAAACAGCATCCCCACTCACATGCACAATTCCAGAGATTCTACTAGAAGGCTGTCAAGAGCCATGCCTTCTGGCTGCACCAGCCTCCCAGAGTCCCCTGCTGCCCGATGCAGTGTCTGCAGAGCCAAACGCATCTTCCGCCACGCCTCATCCTCATCCGGCGCTGCATCCGACCCTCCAAGACTCCTGCAGGAGACTGCCTTCCTCGGCAGGCTCAGCCAAAAAACCAACTCAAAACTCTTCTGTCAGAGCAAGCTTAGGGAGAGCCACCCAGCCCGCGGTGCCACAACCCTCCCAGAGCAACTGTGGCCCATGCCACCCCAGCCTCTCAGCGAACACAGGCAGGGTACCTCCCATTATCTCCTTTGCTCAAAAGAAAGTGACCTTCCTCCAAATGGCAAGCTAGAAGCTTTGGAGAATACTCCTACTGCTCAGTCTCAGCAGGATTCGCCAAACTAGGGATATGAGGATCGGGGTGGGTTGCCTTGTGGGGTAGGAATATAGAGGGGAGAAAGGGGCAGGTTTTGCTAGGTTTCCACCTCAGTGCAGGAGACCCACCAAATAGTCTTCTGAACACCCTGGCTATCTGCTCCAACTGCTCTGCTGGGCAGGGAGAGGAGGAAGGCCCCAGGAGACAGATGCTGGGGCACAGTTGCTGAGGGAGGAGTGGCAGGTGTGAAGCCGCTCCCCGGGGGAGAGGGAAGAGGCTGCAGCCCAGCGCCCTGAGATGGCCTGTGGCTGGGTGGGGGAGCAGGTGGGCCCCGAGGGAGGTGGAGGGCAGACTGCTGAGCTGCGGCCTCAGGATCAGAGCCCAGTCCCAGACAGGGTGTATGGTCAGGACATTCAGCCTCGGCTCCAGCTCGGAGGTGGCAGGGAGAAGGGAGCAGTTTCAGCCTGATCGCAGAAGGACGGGCCGAGGCTCGGCGTTGGAAAGAGGGGGCCAGGCTCCAGCTCCAGCTGCGGCAGGATGGTCCATCCCCAACCCCGCCCCGCTCCCGCTCCGGGGAGGTGAAAGCGCCCGAGCAGCCAGAGTCGCCTCCCTCGCTCCTACCTGCAGGCCGGGCGTCAGCGTGTCCTCACCCTCCTCCCTGGGGTCGCCGCGGTCGGCCTCCGCTGGCGCCTCCGCGGGCCCTCCACCCGCTCCAGCTTCCAAGCTTGGCGGCGGCGGGGGCTCGGGCGCCCGGGGCTTCTGCGGCCCCGCGGCCC